CTCACCCCACTTCACCACTCTCTCCTGCCTATTTATACCCATCACTCGATCTGTAAAATCATACCTTCTGAAGATGTATTTAATATACGAAAGTACTTAAGGAAAGTCCTGTTTCATTTTCCTCCGTGGTCTGACATTGTCATATATATATATATATATATATATATATATATATATATATATATATATATATATATATATATATATATATATATATATATATATATATATATATATATATATTTCTTTGCATTAGTGATATTTCAAGAAAGTATTTCCTGCTGTGTTCGTCACCGGGCGAGAGAGAGAGAGAGAGATGGATGACACAAAACACGCAGAAAGATAAACAATAATTAGGTAAACAGGATAATAATGTGTGACTCAGACAGACGTGAGCTGGTAGACGGCGTGACTCCAACACCACGTCGCACTGTGACGTGTCAAGCCCCTACGACCAAAACCTGGTGTACTAAACAGATATGAACAGCTCGCAAACATAGTGGTGATGTTCCGTGTTCTATGCTTGGGTCCTCGGTTAGGTTAGGTTACGTTCGGTCAATTTGGTACATCAGTTTAGTGACGTTGTGACCGCTCGAGAGGCTGCTCACACACCTCCTCATAGTTCTCCCCCTCATACTCTACCTCATCCCCCCTCACACTCCCCCTCACAGTCAATCTGCCCCCCCTCCCCCTCCCCCAGCAGCATATGCTAGATTGGCCAGCATAGGAACTGCCTTTAGAAACTTGTGTAAGGAATCGTCCAGGACCCTGTATACCACTTATGTCAGACCAATCCTGGAGTCCATACCTTGTTAAATACAAGACTAAGTTAGAGAAGATTCAGAGGTATGCCACCAGACTGGTCCTGGAACTGAGAGGTATGAGCTACGGGAGCTAAACCTCACGTCCCTGGAAGAGAGAAAAGTAAAGGGAGACATGATCAACACCTACAAAATTCTCAGGAAAATTGACAGGATGGACAGAGACAAATTCTTTAGCACGGGTGGAACACGAACAAGGGGACACAGGTGGAAACTTAATACCCAAATGAGCCACAGATACATTAGCAATAATTTTTCAGTGTCAGAGTAGTTAGTAGATGGAATGCACTAGGAAGTGATGTAGTGGAGGCTGACTCCATACACAGTTTTAAATGTAGATTTGATATGATAAAGCCCAGTAGACTCCAGAATCTGAACACCAGTTGATTGAAAGTTGAGAGGAGGGACCAATTTTTTTTTTATTAACACATTTAGGTACATCTGTATGTGGGCAGCTGCCCTAGACCATATGAAGGGAGTACAGTGTGTGTCAAAAAGCTAGTTACGTGATGTTAAAGTCCCCACCACACAGGGTGGTCAGTCATACAGGCCAAACCCCCCAAGCACAAGGTGAGTACACACACACCCAGTGATGTGGTGGAGGCTGACTCCATACACAGTTTCAAGTGTAGATATGATAGAGCCCAATAGGCTCAGGAACCTGTACACCTGTTGATTGACGGTTGAGAGGCGGGACCAAAGAGCCAGAGCTCAACCCCCACAAACACAACTAGGTGAGTACACACACGTGTGTGTGTGGGGGGGAGGGAGGAGGGGGAAGCCGGTGGCCGAGCGGACAGCACGCTGTCACATGATCCTGTGGTCCCGGGTTCGATCCCTGGCGCCGGCGAGAAACGATGGGCAGAGTTTCTTTCACCCTAAACCCCTGTTACCTAGCAGTAAATAGGTACCTGGGAGTTAGTCAGCTGTCACGGGTTGCTTCCTGGGTGTGTGTGTGTGGTGTTGGAAAAAAATGGTAGTAGTAGAAACAGTTGAGAGGCGGGTCGAAAGAGCAGAGCTCAACCCCCGCAAGCACAACTAGGTGAACACCCACACACTGACTCAGGGCCATAAATCAATGGAATGGGTGCATAAGGACTAAGCAGGAGGGGGGGGGGAGGGGGGATATACGTCACGCACTAGTTCCATCCCCCCCCCCTCCCCTCACACCTCACTCATAACCCCTCACTCCTTACTATCCCCTCACCCTTCACTACTCCATACACCTTACACCTCACCCCCTCCATCTTTTCCCCCTCACCCCTCCCCTCCCCTCTCCAAGTCGTCACCCAACACAGGTCCAGTGACAAATAATATCACCATTTTGATATTATTAATTCGTTTTGTTGGGGACAAGAAGCCTGGATATATATTCTTTAGAACTTATTACCGAAGTTCCGCCAAGGTGGAACTACCGACCTTCCCCAAGTTGCAACCCCACAACCCGGGTACTTATTAATCGCTAGTCCAACAGGGACCCATCTGGTGAAAGGAAATATACTCAATCCTTTCTGTCCCGTTCGGGAATCGAACTCGGGACCCCCGATTGAAAGCAAGAACGAATCTAACTGTACTACGAGGTCCTGTTCTCTTACATGTGTAGATAACACTCCAGCGATGTGGGTTGGATGCCATCATTCAGGTTCAGTATTTTCTCTTAGTGACGTTCTTGAAATTTTATTGTGTATATATTCAATTTGTTTCAATTATCTATATCTATAAATGTAAATGTCTGTGCAACAGTAAGCCATCATCTCCTGGTGCTAGGAGGTGCACCTCAAACACCTCACTCTCAGCTCAATCGGACAAATCCACAAGGGCCGTGACGAGGATTCGAACCTGCATCCGAGAGCATCCCAGACGCTGCCTTAATCGACTGAGCTACGACATGGTCAAAGAATTGCAACCAGAAATTCTACTGAATTTACTTGGATCCTTTTACTCTTACTCTACATCCTCACCCAACACTACACACTTACCCTACACCCTCACCCAACACTACACTCTTACCCTACATCCTCACCCAACACTACACACTTACCCTACACCCTCACCCAACACTACACTCTTACCCTACATCCTCACCCAACACTACACACTTACCCTACACCCTCACCCAACACTACACTCTTACCCTACATCCTCACCCAACACTACACACTTACCCTACACCCTCACCCAACACTACACTCTTACCCTACATCCTCACCCAACACTACACACTTACCCTACACCCTCACCCAACACTACACTCTTACCCTACATCCTCACCCAACACTACACACTTACCCTACACCCTCACCCAACACTACACTCTTACCCTACATCCTCACCCAACACTACACTCTTACCCTACACCCTACACTACACTACATCTTACACTACACCCTACACTACACTACACTACACCCTCCACTTATAACTATCACTACAACTGCTGTATCTACACCCCCCCTTCCCGCCCCCTCCCCCCCCCATTTCCACTGACTATTTCTTCCCTCCCGAAGCCTCTCCTTTAACTACCCCCCCACCAACCACCCCCACCAACCACCCCACCAACCACCCCCACCAACCACCCCACCAACCACCCCCACCAACACCACCACCCTCGGGGCCAGCCACAATTGCCGGGGTTGGCGTCTCCTGCACCTTGCAGCTAATGGCCGCCTGGCAACATAACGACGTGAATTCAACATGCACCTCTCAACTCTCAACCCCCCCCCGCACCCTCCTTCCCTCCCTCCCTCCCTCCCCCACCACTCTCGTTCCCTCCCTCTCTCCCTCCCCCACCCCCTCTCCCCTGCCTCACTAACACGCAAATTTCTTTTCTCTATCTCGTTTGACTTTGCTTCTTGGAACTTTCTTTAAGTTTCCCAGAAGGTGGCGAGGGAGGGAGGGAGGGTGAGGAGGGAGGGAGAGAGAGCAAGAGGGAGGGAGGAGGGAGAGCAAGAGGGAGGGAGGAGGGAGAGCAAGAGGGAGGGAGGAGGGAGAGCAAGAGGGAGGGAGGAGGGAGGGAGAAGGGAGGGAGGAGGGAGGGAGAGCAAGAGGGAGGGAGGGGGAGCAAGAGGGAGGGAGAGCAAGAGAGGGAGGAGGGAGGGAGAACAAGAGGGAGGGAGGAGAGAGAGCAAGAGGGAGGGAGGGAGGAGGGAAAGCAAGAGGGAGGGAGGAGGGAGAGCAAGAGGGAGGGGGGAGGGAGAGCAAGAGGGAGGGAGGGAGAGCGGCGTCATGTGAATCAAGGAGGAACTCTGCCGTGTTCCTCCTGATGATCGATGATGGTACACCTCATCACCCCCTCCCTCCCTCCCCTTCCCTCCCTCCCAACCCTTCCCACCTAACCCTCTCCCCAACCACCCCCTCCGTCTCTACCTCCCCCCCTTCTCACTCTCCCTCCCCCTCTCTGGGAAGTGAGGGCTGAAGAATGAGGAGAGAGGAATGGGCAGTGATGGTTGAGGAGTAGTCGGTAAATAGTGTAAACAAAGTGGTATACAGAGAGGAGACACAGCGTCCTACACATTACTACAGTAGCCACAGTAGTACAAGAGCCCGCCACAAAGAGTGAATGCATCGGGGGATCGAGCACCGACCGTGCAAGATACATGACCATCGCTGTCCTGACCAGACCCCAAGTGGACGAACCTAAAAGCCACGGTGACCTTCATCAAAAATACACCTTTTCTCGCAACAGCTCACGTAACACACACACACACACAACACCCAGACGACACTCTGGCACTACACCTACACCACGGCAAGCCTCGCGGCACCTCGATAGACACATAGTTCCGCACTCAGCAGAACACCGTGTTCACCAGTAGTGCCACTTCAACAAGTATGAACACAACAAAGAACAACATACGCGGGAAAAGAACGTTCACCGCAGAAAACCCACCACGATGAATGCTCTCTCTCTCTCTCTCTCTCTCTCTCTCTCTCTCTCTCTCTCTCTCTCTCTCTCTCTCTCTCTCTCTCTCTCTCTCTCTCTCTCTCTCTCTCTCTCTCTCTCTCTCTCGTGGACAGCTTCAAAATATTCATTTTTAGAAAGACGTTCTCGCTCATGTTCTCGGAGCTGGGAGACGCTGTTCTTCAGCCAGAACACGCCTCATGCTGCAGTAAGGACAGTCACCTTCCAACAGCAGCAAGGACAATCACCATGCAGCACCAGCAGCAAGAACAATCACCATGCAGCACCAACAAGAACAATCACCAAAACACAAACTCAACAGCGTCAACAAGTCATATGAGTCGATGGTTGGCTTAACAACGGGGAGCTCTAGCAGAAAACTAAGAGCCTGTCTGTCGGCTCCGAACCGACAGACAAGTAGACAAACGCCCACCGTGAACACCGTCAACAACAGAGACGCCAACAACAGGTCATACCAAGCCCCGTCAACAACAGAGACTCCAACAACAGGTCACACCAAGCCCCGTCAACAACAGAGACTCCAACAACAGGTCACACCAAGCCCCGTCAACAACAGAGACTCCAACAACAGGTCATGCCAAGCCCCGTCAACAACAGAGACGCCAACAACAGGTCACACCAAGCACCGTCAACAACAGAGACTCCAACAACAGGTCACACCAAGCCCCGTCAACAACAGAGACTCCAACAACAGGTCACACCAAGCACCGTCAACAACAGAGACTCCAACAACAGGTCATACCAAGCCCCGTCAACAACAGAGACTCCAACAACAGGTCATGCCAAGCCCCGTCAACAACAGAGACGCCAACAACAGGTCACACCAAGCACCGTCAACAATAGACTCCAACAACAGGTCACACCAAGCCCCGTCAACAACAGAGACTCCAACAACAGGTCATACCAAGCACCGTCAACAATAGACTCCAACAACAGGTCACACCAAGCACCGTCAACAACAGAGACTCCAACAACAGGTCATGCCAAGCCCCGTCAACAACAGAGACTCCAACAACAGGTCATGCCAAGCCCCGTCAACAACAGAGACTCCAACAACAGGTCGTACCAAGCCCCGTCAACAACAGAGACTCCAACAACAGGTCACTCCAAGCCCCGTCAACAACAGAGACTCCAACAACAGGTCGTACCAAGCCCCGTCAACAACAGAGACTCCAACAACAGGTCGTACCAAGCCCCGTCAACAACAGAGACTCCAACAACAGGTCACACCAAGCCCCGTCAACAACAGAGACTCCAACAACAGGTCACACCAAGCCCCGTCAACAACAGAGACGCCAACAACAGGTCGTACCAAGCCCCGTCAACAACAGAGACTCCAACAACAGGTCACACCAAGCCCCGTCAACAACAGAGACGCCAACAACAGGTCACACCAAGCCCCGTCGACAACAGAGACGCCAACAACAGGTCACACCAAGCCCCGTCAACAACAGAGACGCCAACAACAGGTCACACCAAGCCCCGTCGACAACAGAGACGCCAACAACAGGTCACACCAAGCCCCGTCAACAACAGAGACTCCAACAACAGGTCGTACCAAGCCCCGTCAACAACAGAGACTCCAACAACAGGTCGTACCAAGCCCCGTCAACAACAGAGACTCCAACAACAGGTCACACCAAGCCCCGTCAACAACAGAGACTCCAACAACAGGTCACACCAAGCCCCGTCGACAACAGAGACGCCAACAACAGGTCACTCCAAGCCCCGTCAACAACAGAGACTCCAACAACAGGTCGTACCAAGCCCCGTCAACAACAGAGACTCCAACAACAGGTCGTACCAAGCCCCGTCAACAACAGAGACTCCAACACCAGGTCACACCAAGCCCCGTCAACAACAGAGACTCCACCAACAGGTCACACCAAGCCCCGTCAACAACAGAGACTCCAACAACAGGTCACACCAAGCCCCGTCGACAACAGAGACGCCAACAACAGGTCACTCCAAGCCCCGTCAACAACAGAGACGCCAACAACAGGTCGTACCAAGCCCCGTCAACAACAGAGACTCCAACAACAGGTCGTACCAAGCCCCGTCAACAACAGAGACTCCAACACCAGGTCACACCAAGCCCCGTCAACAACAGAGACTCCACCAACAGGTCACACCAAGCCCCGTCAACAACAGAGACGCCAACAACAGGTCACACCAAGCACCGTCAACAACAGAGACGCCAACAACAGGTCACTAAGCACACAGTCAACCCACATAAAAACATTAACCACAATAATAACACCACGAGAAACGCTCTCAACTTTACAAACCTTGAAACTCCCAGGAAGATGAGAGGGGCCGGACTGGCACAGTGCCAACAAGGCACTATAGAGTGCCACCAGTTGACCGGAATGTACGCAGCTTCGAGGAACTTCGAGGAACTTCATTCAGGCACTCCCTGAATGAAGACTTTTGCGTGTTATTCATCGCAATTGCCTTCCTGGGAATGCTCACAATACATATGAATCCTTGACATAGTTTAAAAATAATATATATATGTTTGTACTCCAAATCGCTTCCACTTGTTCCTAGTTCCTCCTCCACTTGGTCCACGTGCCCATGTACCCCTGGGGCACGTGGGCATCATAGCAGCTTGTGATCTCAACATACCATCGTCTGCACATTGATAGTGCTTTAAAAATGAACATTTGTGTACGCATAATTTGCCTGAGCATCGAGCCGGACTTTAGTCAGTGGCGTGATCTAGCAAAATGGTCCTTATCGCTGTCCTCAGAAAGTCCATTATGTCCCTCCGACTTGGACTTTCAATAACGTTACTGACAGACATATATATGAGCCGCAGATTTAACACAAGATATTGTCATGCTTTCATATATATATATATGAACTAATTTCGAAAAGAATTAAAAAAAATATTTAAAACTCATATCAAGTAATCTTTTCCAGGTAACGCACACACACACGCACGCACGCACGCACCCAAACACAGGTTAGAATAGACTCACGTTGTAAATAGGTTAGACGTATAAGTCGTTAAAGCTAATTCGATTAAATATTGTAAATGTAAATATGACAAAAGCGTGAGAAATGAGCGTTTTGCATTAACCTAAGACCGTTTGAAAGGCGGGGGCTAGGAGCCCCAGCTTGACCCTGCAAGCACATCTAGGTGAGCACAGGACAACAACAAAGATGGCCGCCACCCTGGGAGAAGACAACACAAAAAAGAGAATGATGCTGTTGGGTTTAATGAAGAAAATATCACCATAAGAAGTTTTCACAGCAGGATGATGAAAATAGAGAACACTGTCAAATTCAATGATGAAACAATAATGACACCACATGTCTAAAAGCCAAGGGCCAGATTCACGAAGCAGTTACGCAAGCACTTACGAACGTGTACATCTTTCCTCAATCTTTAACGGCTTTGGTTAAATTTATTAAACAGTTTACAAGCATGAAAACTTCCCATTCAACTGTTGTTATTGTTATAAACAGCCTCCTGCTGCTTCGGAGCTCATTAACTGTTTAATAATTGGAAACGTAAGCCGCCAAAGATTGAGAAAAGATGTACAGGTTCGTAAGTGTTTGCGTAAGTGCTTTCGTGAATCTGGCTCCTGGTTTGTGTCTCGGAGAGGCTGCAGGATCCGTTCGTAAATCAAGATGATTTCCCGGTTGCAATTCTTATATCCATGTCGTAACTCTGTCGATTAAGGCAGCGTCTGGGATGCTCTCGGACGTAGGTTCGAATCCTCGTCACGGCCTTTGTGGATTTGTTCAAACAATTATGATTTTGAAGAGTAAGAAATTACAAAGTAATGTGAATGGGAAAGTAAGGCCACTAAGAGATCTATAAAAGGAAGACAGATAAAAACTGAAACTGAACCTCAGTGAACCTTAATGAATCAAATGAACCTCAACGCGATTAAATGAGAAAAGGAATGACGAATATAGAGACTATTTTGTCCTGGAAGGTGATATAGATAAAAAAAAAAGCCTGTAACAAGGTACATAAAAGCAAATCAACAGTGCCTGAAAAATTGCGTATACTTCCATAAATGGGACGAGATGAACAATACTGTAGTTAAATATTATAATATAACTTGAGATGCCAGATACTGTCGCCCTACCAGAGACGAAACTCAAAGATAACAATTAGGAAAAGCAAAAGAATTGATATATGACAACCCACGATAGCTTGATATAATAGCCCTGACGATAAACTGATAATCACGAATGCCTACAGTCCATCAGGAAGCAACACATGGACAAAGGAAGATAGTCTAACATGACAAACTAGACGAACTTATAATAACAAAGATTACAGTAAGAACAGATATAGATAAAGCAAGATTTTTGGTACCTGGTGACTAATTTGAAATCAATAGACTGGGAGAACTACGGAGCAAGAACAGAGAACATTTGGACAAGGAGAATCGTAACTCTTATCCTGGAGGTTTAGAAACAGGCCACGAGAACGAGGGAAAAGGATGCTCCACCGATGCTGGATTTGACATTTTCTAGCAAAGAAGAACAGCTATTACAACGTCAGAGAGGCGGGACGTTACCAGCGGCGTCCAGCAGGGGTCAGTACTGGGATTGATTCTGTTCCTAATCTATGTGAACGACCAATCAGAGCGGGTAGATTCTTCGCCCCCAATAACTGATAATGCACACGTTATCTTGAGGTTATCTTGAGATGATTTCGGGGCTTTTTAGTGTCCCCGCGGCCCGGTCCTCGACCAGGCCTCCACCCCCAGGAAGCAGCCCGTGACAGCTGACTAACACCCAGGTACCTATTTTACTGCTAGGTAACAGGGGCATAGGGTGAAAGAAACTCTGCCAATTGTTTCTCTCCTGCGCCTGGGATCGAACCCAGGACCACAGGATCACAAGTCCAGCGTGCTGTCCGCTCGGCCGACCGGCTCCCTACAAGGGCTCCCTACGACGTTACAAGGAGGATAAATACCATAGAAGATTGTAATCAACTAAGGGATATATGACCTGGGAAAAAAATTAAAGAATGGTCCCTCAAGCGGCTGCTATAGAGTTTAACTGAAGCAAGTGCAAAGGAATGAAGCTGTGAACGGAGAACAGGAGGCCGGACACAATGTATCATTTAGGAGAGGAAACTGTTCTGAAATCTTACAAACTGATACCATCTTGAGGTTATCTTGAGATGATTTCGGGGCTATTTTTTTTTTTAGTGTCCCCGCGGCCCGGTCCTCGACCAGGCCTCCACCCCCAGGAAGCAGCCCGTGACAGCTGACTAACACCCAGGTACCTATTTTACTGCTAGGTAACAGGGGCATAGGGTGAAAGAAACTCTGCCAATTGTTTCTCTCCTGCGCCTGGGATCGAACCCAGGACCACAGGATCACAAGTCCAGCGTGCTGTCCGCTCGGCCGACCGTCTCCCTACCTGGAGCCGACCGGCTACCAATCAGCTGGAAGATTGGCTAATATAAGAACTGCCTTTAGGGATCTGAACAAAGAATATTTTATACTATTTATGACCAATTCTGGAATATGCTGCACCTGCGTGGAGTCCTTAGGTCGTTAAACACAAAATGAGGTTGGTGAAAGTTGAGAGGTGTGCCACCGCACTGGTCCCAGAAGTGGCAGATATGTAGGAAAGTATAAAAAAGTTAAACTTTACAATCACTGGAAGTGAGAAGAAACAGGGTAGACATGATCACCACATACAAAATATTCAAGAAAAAAAGATAAGAAAAACAATATAGCGTAGGTAGTATTCGAACAAGGAGACAAAAAAAATGGAAACAAAGGACCCAAGTGAGCCACAGAGACAAAAATAATGTTTCAAAATTAAGACAAAGAACAAATGGAATGGTTAAGAAGTGAAATAGTGTAAGTCAACCCCATATACAGCTTTAAATGTGGATATGACGCTACCCGATAGGCTCTGGAGCCCATACACCAGTAGATAAAGGGCTCAAAGACGGGACCCAAGAGCCGTAGCCCATCCCCCTCCCCCTGTAAACAGCAGCAGGTGAGTACACACCCACACAGAGAGTTAATCCAACTTGCTAGTACATCCGGCCTCCCCCCACCCCCCCTGGGCCTGACAAGCCGGTGGGAGCTGGGACAAAAACGCCGCTTTAATGGGACAATATGACCTGATGCCGCTGGAGGGAGAGGAGGGCAGGGCGGCCATGATGTCCTGCTGGGCGCGGGCCGCGAGTGCCTTCTCTAACACGCTGAGACTAGGCAAGGATACCAACTGGGAAGAGAGAGAGAGAGAGAGAGAGAGAGAGAGAGAGAGAGAGAGAGAGAGAGAGAGAGAGAGAGAGAGAGAGAGAAAGAGAAAGAGAAAGAGAAAGAGAAAGAGAGAGAGAGAGAGAGAGAGAGAGAGAGAGAGAGAGAGAGAGAGAGAGAGAGAGAGAGAGAGAGAGAGAGAGAGAGAGAGAGAGAGAGAGAGAGACGGATGTAGCAGCTCAGGTTAGATATGTGGGGGACCCCTTAGCCTCGGCGAAGAAAATAAATGACATTCAAAGGCACCGTTTAGGACCCAACGTACACACTTGGCCATTATATTGTTTCTATCATAGTACTTTTGTTTTTATTAATTATTTGTTATAGAACTATTATAATAAATATTATTATTTGTTAATTATTAATATATAATTTTGATTAATATTATAATTTGCATTATTATTATTACACCTTTTATAAAAATATGGGAATTATTATTGTTATTATCACTATTATAAATGTAGTAAGAGCAGAAGTAATTTTAATGATAAATAAAATCATATGAACATTAATATGAATGAGCTTACCACTGCTATTTCTGTTAGATCGTTAACGTATATTAGAAACAGGACGGGACCTGTTAGCGATCCTTGAGGCACTCCACTCGTTCCCTCTCTCCAGTCTGATCTCTCTCCTCTCCTACTAAACCTCTCGGGCTCCTCCCTGAGAGGTACTCCTTCACCCAACTTAGCATTCATCTCGATATATATAGGCCTGCTTTCTGGTATGATTAGGAGTTACTGGTGAGGAACTCTGTCAAAGGCTTTCTGGCTGTCCAGGAAAATGCAGTCTATCCAGACCTCTCTCCCTTGCTTGATTTGTTATATCTTATCGTATAACCAAGTTGGTCAAGCAGGATTTTTCTCGGCTGAATCTATGTTGATATCTAGAAAAAAATCACCGATTTGTACAAGCTTCATATGTGTGTGTGTGTGTGTGTGTGTGTGTGTACTCACCTAGTTGTACTCACCTAGTTGTGTCTGCAGGATCGAGCATTGACTCTTGGATCCCGCCTTTCGAGCATCGGTTGTTTACAGCAATGACTCCTGTCCCATTTCCCTATCATACCTGGTTTTAAAATTATGAATAGTATTTGCTTCCACAACCTGTTCCTGAAGTGCATTCCATTTCCCCATGTGTGTGTGTGTGTGTGTGTGTGTGTGTGTGTG